CGGGCCAGGCGCGTGGCTCCGGGAGCTCAATAAACAATCCCGAGCTTTCACTGCGCCGGGAGCACGCGCTGGGCTCATTTACATTCCAATGTCTCTAAACTTGAAGGCCCATTGGTCGATTCAAACGGCCTGCAACCGTGCGCAAAGAAAGGAAGGAGAAAAAAAAAGACAGCGAAAGAAGAAGGAAAAAAAAGAGGAGAGAATAAAAAAAAAAAAGTGAATGGTTTGCTTCTTTGAAATGCCTTTTGAATTTGACAATGTACCCCTGGCAAGTCTTCAAATTATCAGTCTTCCCCCCTCGGCCATCTTTCTCCTCCAGCTCTTTACAATCACAAATACCAAGGACGCTCTCTGCTGTATCCAGGCTACAGCTTTACAGAGCCAAATAAACCGCAAGCGTGTCTCTAAGCACAATAATTGGCATTTATAAAGCTCGTGCAGGGACGCGATTTATTCAAAAGTAAACATCATGTTTTATGACGTGTAGACGTAAAGTGGACTTTATAGTCACTTCTCTAACAAGTGTTCCGCAGGTCCAGTTTAATGGCACTTGTTAAACAAGATTTTACAATAATTGTTAATTTCAGTGCACGTCTGTAACTCTTATGTGACTGCCAAGGCTTATCTAGATTTTGCATTTTTACGTACCACGTAACCTGGTAACAGTCTGAGCGGACTGAACGTGGACGGCTGCAGCGTTTCAGCACCACGTCCGACTGGACAGTTAAACACAACAGCATCACCAGCCTTTTTTTTTATAGGCTACCGTTTTCCCCAACACAAGTCCATTCGTTTGTGGTTAAATTTACTTAAAGTTGTGTTCAGTATCGTTAAAGTACCTTCGACGAAGATTTTGTGGTTTTGGAAAAGTCCCTCACCAGAAACTTGCTGGTGAAATCTCCTCAGCGGAGGGGTAGACAAGGCTTTGAGGACACGACCGTGCCTCAGTTAAAATGTGACACTTGTGGCCTCTGGTGGCTAAAAATTGCAACTACCTCATATAACTCCACATATTCTATAAATGTATAGCCCATTGTTCAGAGAGAGGGGGGATTCCCTGACAGCTACAGGTTGGACGTCTTCTGGACAGAGATTGCTCTGAACTCTATCCAGCCCACATGAGCAAAACAAAAGAGCTGCTTTTACACCTTTCATTTCCACAACTACATTCTACCACTAGAAAAAAAAAACATGTAGCCTATATAAAACACAGGAGCAATGAGAGTTTGATTTCCTTTTCATGCGATAAGAGGAAAAGTTTTAAAAAGAGAAGTGAACTAGTTAATATAAAACACACATTATGATTTTGATCACTTGAGTATTTCAGGCTTTGGTCAAAAGATTTAATGTTACTGTTAAATCCTGACTGTGTAATACAAAAGGTGATCCCCATTGCACCTGTGCCAAACTCACAGCACACATAACTTGCCCTTCTTCTTTTTTTTAAGTGCAGAGGCACTGCTTGTCAACAGGCAAGGCAACTGCTTGGGGGCCCAAACCATTAGGGGGCCCCAAATCAGCCAAAAATGTACACCTTTGCAATGACAATAGGAAACTTCCCTAAGGGGGCCCTGTTTGACTGAAATCACTCTTGATGCCGGTTGAACGCTGGATGGAGGGACCCCCAAATGATTTTTGCCCAGGGCTTTGACACTGTCCAGAATCACCACTGATTAAGTGTTTGTGTTATACTTATGTACTTTAAATTAAGATGTCCATGTATAATCAACTTTTTGTCTTTGTTTGTTTTTGTTTATCCCGATATGATTTATGAAGATTTCACTCCACAGTGCTGTAATGAAGAACTGCACTGGCTGGTGTGTCTTTTGTTGTGCTTATCTTAAGTGTTTCTTGGTAATCCCCACTTTCAATTTGTTAGAGATTTCCCCTTTCTCTCTCACTCACATCTGCCTGATATCCCACTTATGAACAGCAGGGGGCGGCGAGAGACTATGGTAGTAAATGGAACCTCAGTAAACCCTTTCAGCCAATTATAATCTGAACTAATACATACAATAAATTTCAGTTTTTGGCTCAACTTTGGAAATCATATTGTTGAAAGCTGAAGCTCATGACTCCTGGATTTCTAAACAGTATGAAGGATTATGCTGCGATTTTCAGTTGTTGGAGCCTGCAGTACAGTTGGGTTCACATGTAAGATACTGTTCAGTGCAGTCAAAGCATTTTGGAGGAAAAAGTCCAGAACAGGACAAATGGGTTTTAGTAAAAGGTTATGGGGACTTAAGCAGGACAACAATGCCTTCCCCAATCCAAAAGATCTCAATGAAGTGTTTTCAATAAATAATGGACACTGGACAGTCTTTGAAACCCATGGAGAGATGTCAAGTAATAAGATGGTAAAATAAATCTGAAATAGATTTAGCAGAGTGTACCATGTAGTGTTGTTAAATCAAATAGCAGCCACTCTATACAGTGAATATAATGTAGCTACATAATACAATAACATATCCTAGGCTATCCGATCAAACCGTCATGACAAAACATCTTAATATAGATTAGTTACGCATCCACATAGAAAACAAACACTCACAAGTAAAAAGAAAATACACACACACACACACATACAAAGTAACAGAAGTTGCTGCCTGCCAAAGTTTAATTCAAAGGTAGGGGTGTGGCTGTTTATGAGAGCAGGTGGCAGGCTTACTCACTGAAACTCAACACGCCCGATTTTATGAGTTGTTTTTTTTTCTAATCAAAGGCTTAAGTCAACAAAACATGTGTATTGTTCTGCAAATGAACAGAGAATCACAGAGAAAGAATCACAGAGAAATCACAGAGAAAGAAAGACAGAGAGAATAGGAAGATTTTAAAAGAAAGAAAGAAAAAGAATGGGGAATCCAGAAACTTTCAAGATTCCCCGGTACAATCCCCCTTTTAAAACCTTGAGTTGAACCTTAGAACTTTGCAGGCAAGCTGATGGGACTTTTCCCTCACTTTAATATCTTATGCAGGCCACTTCAGGATCGCACTATTCCAAACAGCCTTTTGGTTTTACAGACAAACTGGCACTTACGATATTGCCTTGAATATATTTGGGAAACAGGATATGGACCTCCAGTGTGGTTCTCCAATCACCACACTACATCTTTCCTCAGTGATGAGCCCATGTTGTATGCAGGGCAACGTTCACGAGGACAGAGTACTTCCAATGAGCAGGAAAAGGGAAGTGATCCAATAGAGCATGTATCGTTTCCCCTTTCCTCAGACATGTAAACTGGGTTGAGATATTTGCTTAAAATTGTGGCAGGCTATTGCATTGGTGTTATGATTCTCAGTTCTTCATTAACGCATGTCTGTGGTGGAAAAAGACAGAAATGCTCCCCCTTGACGCCAGTTAAGAGAAGCATTATTAGTGAAGACACACAGACGCTGCACATTGTGCCTGATCTTTTGTACAGTCATAGTGGATAACAGGTTGGATAAGAGTGGGGAAGGGGAGAAAAACAAAAATCATATTTCACAGTTGTGTTATCCTTTGCAGAGCAGTTAGAATGCATTGATGGCTAAAATAAAATGTGAATCCCCACACTACACTTTCACTCACTGATTATAAAAAGCCTGTCTCATTCAGACACATAACAATACCAGACACCTGGATCCTAACTCTGAAAGTCCCCTGGATACACTGCACAATTGTTGCAATCTAAAGTACCACTTACGGTGTGTGTTAATGTGGCTGAATTCACAGGAACCGGGTGCTTTCATGGGACACTATTTTAGTGAGCAATACCTTTGTAAAAACACATACAGAACAGGTGGAGCTCCTTTTGTATCAGCTAAATGCCCCAAAGCTAACCCACTAGTATCATCTGTATAGAAAAAACAACAACTTACATGTTGATTTTAAAATGTCTTGTATTATAATAAAAATATCTGTGATGTGCTATAATAAAGTTTGTTAAAATGGACTGCACTTCCAACCACTCAAGACGCTTTACACAGCGCGTCAGGATCTATCTTTTCACACACTCATTCACACACTATGTGCCATTCAAGGCAGCTAAGCCTTGTAACAGTCTAATACAGTGTAGGCGATGTCGTTGGGGGCAATGTGGGACTGAGCGTCTTTTGTGGGGATACTTGGACATGTAGACAGTCGGATGGGGTTCAAAATAGAGGACGACCCGCTCTACCTGTGAGCCACAGCTGCCCCCAAATATAGTTTCAGGTTTATGATCACAAAGGGACACTGAGTATGCTTTGTACCACTTGCTGACTTGGCATACAAAGGAGTTTAATGGGCACTTGAGTATAAATCTTAGTCTGTAAGTATTTGGTACCTGTTGTTTGTGAAGAAAAAAAAAAGGCAGGCCCCGCAATGTTTTTGTATGCACCAGTGTTTCAAAGTCTGATGCATTGTTTTGTAGGCTACTGCATGCAAAGACATGTCACTTGATCCTTCTCATGATAAACATAGAATCATTAAATATTTGGCATCAATAATAGCCAGGATTACGTAGCTCTATGTAGAGGTTAAACTTGTTGATAAAAATACAAACATACAGCCTACACTAGGCTTTACATTACTCTAGAACAGAACACAATACAGAGGCCTAGTTTAGTCAGGTCCTATGAAGTGTACTGGAAACGTAACATTATCGGCACAATGTCTCCAAATCCCAGTAAACACACCATCAATGACGTGGCTCATTAAGTGGATGATGAAACGCAGATGACGCAACCAAAAAAAAAAGGTGCAACAGTATCGCTAGGCCTTCTTTCACTTTCTCCAGTTTATCAGCTAATTGAAAAATTCCACTTTCCCTGACAAAGCCTCCCCTTGCTTCCGGTCTGCAGAGGGTGTCTTCGATGTCTTTACCGTGAACGGACCCGTCTTGTATTTCATGCTCTGTGTGAGGCGGTAACGTTTTGATCGTTCACGAATCAAGCCCCCCTCCTCCTCCTCGTACGTCGGAAATGCCACAAGGAGCTGCACCCTCCCACCGCGGGGGAGGAGGAGGGGGGAGGAGACTATGACCTCACATGATGTCACGGCTGTTTGGGAGGTAAAATTGCAGCCGTACAGCTGAGCATTCAGATCAACAGCTCAATAGAGAGCCACACTTCTGCTGAGACATGCAAAGGTAAGGAAGTACACATCCTCATCTTATTCTCGTCCTTCGTCATTTAGCACAACATGATGAGTATTTGTTTTGTCGTGAGTGGAGTAGTCAAAGTGTGAACGATTTAGTTCCTTGTGAAACTTTGTTTATATATGTAGTCAAATGATTTCATATGAAGTTCTGAATTTGTCTTGTAAAGTGTGCATGTTGCTGCAAACTATTCTGCCAGACTGTGTTGAGGATTGCATTGATTAAAATGCTGCTTGGAGACCAGCTTTTTTCCTTTTTTTATTGTCAGTGTACAGTAATAAAAGGAGAAAGAAAACACTTGGCTGCGTCTGTGTTTGTGCGGTTTAAGTGCTTGTCTCTACTTCCTCTCTCCTATTATGAGATGTTTCATGAAAGAACAACACTGTCATGTCTCCTCTCAGCCCTCCCAAGCCTCAGTTCGCCAGCTGGCTCATCCAGCAGGTGGGGACAGACCAGTATGCAGGCCTGCGCTATGTGGGTGAGAACAAGTTCAGAGTCCCCTGGAAGCACAACTCTAGGAAGGACTGCAACGATGAGGACAGTAAAATATTCCGGGTAGGTACAACATCCTTTATCAAACTTCTTTACTCTGATACTGTGAGATTAGACAAAGTGTTGGCATGTTCCTGACACAGTAGTAATAACTTTTTGCAAAGAATTAAGATATAATACTAATCCTCAAACACTCATAGGCCGCCTGTGTAATTGATAACATCAGTTTATTAGGAGCTCCTCCCTTTAATTACTGCCGGAGTGGTGTTGTGCTGCCAGTGGGTATTACAGCATACCAACATCAGTGGTGGCACTTCCACTTTGATCCAGTCAAAGTAGAGGCAAAGTAGCAATACCACAGGGTACCGCAGATTTGTAGTCTGCCTTTTGTTTGCATGTTGATTACAGTGTTTCCTTTTAAATGGTGGATGCAGTAAGTGTTAGGTTGTTGTTGAAAAAGAATGTGGAGCCTGTCATGACATTTCATTAAGTACCCCCCCCCCATCGTAACTTCTGCTGCTAGATAAATGCTGTGAAGTTAGATGTGCAATATTTCCATCTAAAACGAAGAGAAGTTTAACTCTGAGAGTCTCTCATGAATGGAAAGATCCCATTTGAATCCGTCTCTGTGTTCTTTGGCAGGCTTGGGCAGTCGCCAGTGGGAAAATCAACGAGTTCCCCAACGACAAGGCCAGGTGGAAAACCAACTTCCGGTGTGCTCTGAACAACCTCTCTGTGCGCTTCAAGATGGTCAAAGATAACTCCAAGAATTCTGACGACCCTCATAAAATCTACGAGATTATCAACACTGAGTGTAAGACAGTGGTTATCTTATCCGAGCTTTTGACTTTGGAACAATTTTACGTTTGAAAGTAATTTAATGTGGGTCTGTTTTGTTTTTGGCAGACAACTATGCAAGCTTGCTGGCACAAGACTCCCAGGAGGATTTGGACATGTCTGTGGATATCCAAAGCTCTCCCATACAGTGCTTTCCATCAGGAAACGAGGTGCCCAATTGCAGATCACAGAAGGTTTTCTCTGTAATGTTTTCTCTTCTTCAATACTTATTAAATCCCTAACTTCTATTTCTGTGTTCTTGCCTAATCAGCTTAATCTACTGAACAGTTTGGTGGCCTTGGATCTTGGGAACCATCCGCCAGGTACAGAGTCTCCTGTGAAAATGAAATTCTGCAATACTTATTATGTCCTCTCCACCTGTTTGTGATTTTACATGGGTAATAATTAATAACTAATAGAGGTTAGGTGTTGTTTAATCTCTTTTTTTTATTGTCTTTAACAGAGGAGCAACCCTGGGCAGAGAACTATGGCCAGCCGAATCTACCTGTGGTTGAAAGCTATCCTGTAGTGGCTGAGAACGTCCAACAGCATATACCAGATCAGCCATCTTACTACGAGGGTACGTTCAGCCACATGAGATTAAACTTATTTTTAATGAGATGTAATGCTGCTCTGGATAAGGAAAACATGTGCACTGATTTTCTATAAAGAAACCTTTTTTTTCCTTACAGTAAACATTCCATCGGCTCTCAGTCCTCCTGTTCAGCCGACTATTTACGACCTTGAGATCTCCATCCACTACAGGAAGAAAGAGATGCTGAAGGTTACATTGAACACTGCTCGTCTCCAGCTCCACTACCATCATGAAGCCCCTGAGTTCAACGCCTATCATCTCTGCTTTCCCTCCACCGAGGGTCTGCTGGACCAAAAGCAGGTGAATAAGAACATCAGTGATAAAATGTGAAACTGACTTCATGAAAAAAAAACTACCTAGAGCTATCCTCCAGGTAGTTCCCTGAGAACCACACGCCATGGGGACTTTTTTTGTTGGCAGAGAACCTACTCTGAAGCAGGAACTTAAAAGGTTACTTTAAACGGGGTTCTAGGAACTTAGTTCCTGCTATGCAGAATCAATAAAAGGGGGAGGGTTTCAACAGTTCGTAGAACTTTGAAAAAGTTCCTGGGGTCAGAAAACACCTTTTTTTTACTTTTTATTTTTTGGCTATTTGTGGATAGAGTCTGATATCAGGGAGAGAGAGAGTGGGGAATGATGTGCGGGAAAGGAGTCACGGGTCGATTCAAACCAGGGCACCCTCGAAAGCGCCTTTCGATATAATCAAACAATTAAATGTCATTTATTTTAAAGTACATTAACGGCCTTTCTTTTAATGTAATTTAAATCGACATTTTCTAGCAGTCTGTCTCTCCCCGGCCTTTGTCAGCACATTATCGCTTTTCTCGCCGTATTTTGTGGATCAGTGTAATAATGTAAAACCATTGGCATGAAACTGCTTTACAACACTCACATGCTAAGAACAATCACGTTACAGATATGCACATGATATTTAAACACATCACACTCTTCGGCTTTAAAGGAGAGCTGAAAGAAATTTGGGATTTTCTCTTCCACAAAGAGCTTTGATCAGCTCGGATACAGAGAACGGAATTTATGTTTCTGCAAGTGCTGCTGAGACTCAACAATATGAACCGGTTTTCAATAAGAAATCCATCACAGGAAGTCTACACGGTACCTTAACACTTCAGGGCTTTCTGTGGCTCCTTCCATCTCTGCCTGTGATCCCTCTGGGGGTTGTAATAAGTCTATCAGAAGAAGGTCTCCGACTGAAGTAGAGAGGAAATAAAAAGTGGTTGCACCAAAAAACAATTGATTACAACAAAATGCTGAGAATCAGAATCAGTGGGTAAAGCCTCCTTATGTGTATATAAAACTCAACATGCTAAAATGACAAAGCTTTTCTTTCTTTTTACATGAACATTTTGTTAAAGACTTTTCTTTTTACACTAGATTGAATACACCAACCGCATCCTGAACAACATCCAGAAAGGTCTCCTCCTGGAGGTGCAGGACACTGGTATCTATGCCTACAGACAGGATAGGTGTCATGTGTTTGCCAGCACCAGTGACCCCAGTGTGGCTCACCCAGACCCCAGGAAGATCACCCAGAACACCATGGTGGAGCTCCTCAGCTTTCAGAAATATGTGAATGGTATGAACAGCAATAGAAAATACATCTTGTATTACTACTGTTGCATTTGACTTAAAGCTAGCATGAAGTCGGCAATGTGAAATAAGTGAGCCTACCTTGATCTGTTTCAGAATTGAAGCAGTTTAAAGAGAACAACGGCAGCTCTCCTGAATACACCATCAACATGTGCTTTGGAGAGAAGTTCCCGGATGGAAAAGCTCTAGAGAAGAAACTCATCGTAGTGAAGGTTACACTCCTTTCTGCTTCGTTTTTCTTTTCTTTCTGAGCTTCCTTTTGAAGATGCACGCAGTATTCATTTTAACTTCCTTAAGTATTGAGGTTGTAAGTGTTGTGAAATGTCTCTATGTGCTCCTATAGGTGGTCCCTCTGATATGTCGATACTTTCACGAGATGGCCCAGATGGAGGGCGCTTCATCTCTCCACAGCGCCAACGTTAGCCTCCAGATCTCGCACAACAGCCTCTTGGATCTCATTCACACCGTCTTCGGTGTACCAACAGCTGAAGAGCCAGCACAGGCAGTCACTCCTTTTCTTCCTACGATCTGAAGGTTTCTCTCTCATCCACCTCCAACAGGGTCTAATTCTACTACATACAGGACCACACCATGCTACAGCTTACTTTTCATTTGATTGAATACAAATGAACGAAACTGCTAGCTTGTTTAATGTGTCATAGTCTTAACATTGAATTGGGCATTTAATCATAAGCCAGTATTTATCATCTGTCACCTCATCTTGCTGCTTTGCATTCCAGCCTCTTGACTTCATGTTGTCATTATCATATCCGCACAAAACTGACCATTTTATCACTACATCAGCAGATATGAACTCCTTAGCTATATTACTGTTACATGACTTAAAATGAATCCCTAAATGACTACTGTAAATGTCAAATCAGCTCTGAATTTTAAGTGTTGTTTTAGACATCTGATTAGATATTTATAAGCTTGTAAAATGAAGAGAAAGAATGAAATGATGTGTTTTCTATGTGTCATAACACCCAGTGTCTCTGGTGAACTGTGTTGCACTTCCCTACTTGTTTGAAACAAGTTTGCACTTCTTTTTTTGATGCTGAAGATCTAGCTGTTAAGATGTTACATGCATTGTTTATTGTTGAATCAAGTCTCAGTTCTTTCACATCTGTGATGAAATGTATGACTTGTAAATGCTGAGAGATCTTTTAATAAATCCTTTTACAAAAGCTTGAGGGTGTAGTTGACCGCATTCTTACGGCCAGTTCAAGTAAAATCATTTCACTTTCAAAAGGGAACTTCTTTTGACATCTCCAGAAGCTGAGGTTGAGCCATGAAAAACTCTAGAGAAATGAAGACAAGCATGTTTTTTTTTTTTTTTATTAAAATAAAATCCCTGAAAATCAAACACAATAACTAAGAAAAGTGTCTTTACAGTTTTTAAGTGATCAGTCTGAAAATGAAGACGTATGCAGTGAATGAGCTTTAAACCCTTTAAAGTGGTTTTCATGAACATTACTGGGGAAGAAAGTAATCCAAAATAGTAATGGATATCACCGAGAGTAAGTGTCAGGCTAAACATGCAACATATTCATGAATAGATTCTACAGAAACCTCCGGGTTCATGAAATGATTCCCATCTTTAGGCATGTGTTTACTATCAAACCTGCATTAGAAAATGCAGCAGACGACAAGAGGTTTTATTTTGTTTTTCTATACATGTTCTTTGAATTAATCCTTAAAAAATATGAAATTCTGTAGATTAAATTAGCTGAATACTTATCAAACATTGAGTAAGAAAATCAGAAAACTGCTTTATTTAAAATGGTTTTGAACGTGAGAGCACCAGGTTTGAAAGTGGCTAAATCTAGACATGAACAGTTTTTCAAAATAAGAGGTTGTGCAACTAAACCATTAAGACATAAAGTCTGCAGTACACTAAAATCTAAATACTCCATCATGGCATGGTGGTCTTGATTGTTTGAAAACAGAATGCCCTTAAATAAAAATGACATCTCACTTCCTCAGAGAAATGATGCCTCTTTTTATTCATATTATTTTGATGCGTTTGGCACAAAAACAAAATATTTCCTTGTTCTTTAAAACTTGTTTCATACACTTCAGTCATGGGTCAAAAAAAAAGCTTCACTAATGAGAACTTAAGAATACGTTTTTTTGAACAGAAGAGGCTGTTTTTTTAAGAAAAAGTGATTGGACTACGTTTGGCTCATTAGACATGGAGATTAGAAATGTAGGAGACAGATCACAGAGGCTTTCATTTATATAACATACATCTATTCTACTGGAGTTTCCATTTATATAACCAGCTAATCGCAACAGGCAGCACAAGAGAGGAACATAAGAGAGGATATCAAATCTAGTATTTACAACCAACTCTAAAATTGTTTCTGTATTACTCGGATTTTCTACAAAATTGCATAACTGTGTCTTTTGCCTCAAATATGCATACTCTGCATACTTACACCACTTCTCAACCATGACACTGATAAATACCCCTCCCCCCTCCCTCCCTCCCACAAAACAAAGACAGTCATAGAAAAACAAATGTGGAGAAAGCTACCTGATTTCCAGCTCCATGGAAGAGTCTCAGAGTTGCCTCTTTTAGGCAAAACCTCAAAGTCTCCTACTGGTTTGTATGAGCTGCACTACACAAAAATCTCGAGACGAATGTCTCGAGACATTGCTGTTCAGTGATTCAGCATAAAGAACTTGTTCTCAAGATTTAGCCGAGATGAAAATATTAACATTCAGAAAGTATTCCATCTTGAAGCGGTGAGCAAATCTTAGTTATTTCAGTTGGAAAACATACCTAAATATATGAATGAGTGTTGTTCATGTGTGGCTGTCCTGCTTGTAGTTCAAACCTCTCTCTTTCAGGGGCTGTCAGAGGTTTTCATGCCCTCAGTCTGAGCCTCCTGTTCCCTCCCTGTGTCCTCTCCTCTCTTGTGTTTTCTGGCATGCTTGTATTTGTCCACATATGCCTTGACTAGATTTCCCACCTTGACTGGGTTGATCTCTCCGCTCTTGCTGTGGCACACCTGATGACCAGGAACACAAAATGATCACAAATCATTTCTCAAAAAAACTAATGGAAGAGATGATCTGAAAGTATCTCTCAAAAAAATAAACAATTTTAGAAAGTTGTTGGTTGACATATCTTTTTAGTATGATAACAAAATCTATAGCCCACCTTCTGGACGGCTTTGCGCAGAATCTCTTTGTATTCCTCCTTGTTGATGTCTCTCCTCTGGTAGAAAGGTTTAATGGCTAGCTTCACCTCCTCTATAGCTCTCTCCTGCATGTGAAGCTTCTTCAGGTAGTACTGCTGGTAGATTAGAATTAAATGTCAAAAGTACTCTTGAAGAAGATGGAGCAGTACAAAATGTTTTCATAACCAATGATAAATCAATCAGTCTTTTGTATAGCGCCAATTCATAACAAATTTTACCTTGAGACACTTCACCAAAAGCAGGTATATGCTATATTACAAAGACCCAACCTTTAATCCATCAGCACAGCACAAAGCAACATTTAACGAAGTTACAGTGGTAAGAAAGAACGTCCTTTATGACATAATACTTATTGATTCCAAACATCCAAAAGTGATATTTACCTTGTCTTTGTTCAACGTATCCCCTTCCTCTGACTCTAGTTGTCCAGTGGTTGGTAACCCCTCTGGTTTTGCAGCATCAGATCTAGAGGAGCGAGAACCCTTTCTGGAGGCGTCACTCGCAGTTCCAGTGATATCCTTAGAAAGTCAAAGGAGCGTATAAATGGATGACATCATGACAACTCTAAAAGAATCCTCTAGAAATAAAATATACATTTTTGTATATAATTGTATTTTGTTATAATTCTTGTAACTTTAAATTAGTTTTGTAACCTATGGAGACTTGCATATTTTATAACCTTCAGCAATAAGATAAGGAATCATCTATGAAAATATTTTGACATTAAATGTGGAGTCAACAACTTTTATTTCCCCAGAATGGCTTTTAGTTTCGATTCACCTGAAAATGCTCCAGTATCAGTTTTCGTTTTAACCATGTGATTCTACTGAGTCAAACACGTGTGCTTCTTTTAGATAAACACTGCCACCCTCTGGCCTTTTTGTCACATGACATTTTAGACACATTTCTAAAAGTAACAAAGGTTAAATCTCAAGTGACAAGGAACGCTCTCCTACCTGACTGGTTGATTGGGACGTCGAGGAAGGTCTGCGAAGTCCTTCCTGCTTCAGCCTCAGTTTATAAAGAGCCAGTTCTGTGAGAAAAGAAAAATGAACTTTTTTAATTTTGAGACAGATACAAAACACACTGGGTAATGGTCCCTTTCTATATAAAAATTATTTACATCACTTTTAAGGTTAGCCGGATCAGTTAGCAGGAAGTTATCAAGTTATCTGAGCCGCAAAGTGAAACCTATGAGGTAAAAAAAAGTAGTAGCAACACTTACTGCTTGACGATTTCTCTGGCTGCGGCCCCTCAGGCTCCTGTATATTCCACGTAACCCTCTTCACATGAGTCTTTGATTTAGCTCCTAGTAAAGACGACACCTGCTCTCCTTCATTCTTTCCCCCCTCTGTGTCCTTCTCCTGTTTGATGGTTGCACCGCTTCCCCCGGTGGGCTCTGACTTTACATAGTCCAGGTTGTCGAGCATCACATCCACATTAAAATCATCATCTGAGTCGGAGGGTTGCAGGACTTGCTGCTTCACGGAGAGCGTCGACTCGACAGTGTTTGGTTGATCAGCAGAAGCCTTGTGGTGAGACTGAGGGACTGAATCCTGAAGGCTGTCAGATTTCACAGGTGCTGTGAGTGAAGACAACGAGGTGACAGAGGGTAAGGCGCATAATTCTGGGGAGCTTAGCTCAGATTTAATTATTAGCATTTCACATCTCTCAGTCTTAACTGGTTCTTCTTTGTTCCCTTCCTCATGTGTTCCTTCCCAAACAAGGGTGTCAGTTACTTCTTCTTTAATTGGTTTAATAATAGGAGTATCTTCAAACATATCCAGACATGGTTGTTTTTCTTTCTTAATTTCTTTTCCAACTTTAAACTCCTTAAACGTTTCTGCTGTTGTAGCCTGGCTCTCTGTTTTGAGGTCTTTGCCTTGCTTTGTCACTTCAGAGACAGCAGTGCAGATAGGAGTGTCCTCTTTTTTCACAGAAGTAGCTTTCTCCACCTTGAGGGAGTTTCCAGAGATATCCTTCTCCTTTTTCTTTAATGGTTTTGTGTCTTTAGAGGATGAAGCACTCGACCCAGACGTTGTCTGTGAACTCTTGGATGATGAGCCTTTGTCTTGTCTTCTCTCTCTGGAGCTGGACCTAGACATTCGTCTCCTCTTGTCTTTGGACCTCGACTCTTGCTTGTCTTTAGAGGGGAGCGACGACTGTTGAGGTCGAGTGTGGTCTTTTCTCCTTTCCTTGGATCTGGATCTCGACCGTGACTTGGACCGTGATTTTGAGCGAGAACGACCACGTTTACGGTCCTTTGATCTCGATCTGGAACGTGATCTAGAGAGAGATTTCGAGCGAGATCGAGCATGTCTCTTGTCTTTAGGCGGTCTTCTTTTCTCAGGTTCTCTCTCTCTGCCATCAGTTCTCTCGTTGCTTCTTTGTTTATGTTTTTTTCTCCTTGAATGCTCTCTGCTGCTAGAGCTGGAGCCGGACCTGAAATCAGAGATGATAGAAAAAAAGCCTCAATTAAAGAAACATTTTTAGGAATCAAAGTGTCAATGAAGATGGTTATGTATGACACCAGGAAATTGGAACCGAGAATCGCATATTTACCTGGATCGCCTCCTGTCTTTTGATCGTGACCGAGACCGTTGTCTCTTTATGCGGTTCCTGTCAGGGGAGTTGGACTGAGAGCTTTCTGAGGTTGAGCATGCCTTCCTCCTCTCTCTGGACCTGGATCGCCTGGAACTTCTGTCCTTGTTCTTCTCTTTTTCCTTATGCTGGCCTCCTGTGCTCGACGTGTGATGGTCTCCTCTCCTGCCTCTCTCTGTGTCTGAACTGCTAGAGCGCCTCTCCTTTGATGCATGAGAGGTTTTCTTCTTATGGTCCAAATCTCTTGATGGGGACTCTGACTCTGTTTTGACTTCTGCCTTTAGTTTCTTCTTGATGGGAGCAGAGCTGGATGCGGGGGCATTGTTCTCAGAGTTGGGGGCTGCATTGTGTGACCTTTCAACTCTCACCTCGTTCACTTCTGCAGTCACTCTCTCGGTCTTTATATGAACAACGCTGTGATGAACAGGTGGAGGGTTGCCTGCTATCGCTGAACATGTACTGTTTACTCTATGTCCGGTCATTTCTTCCCCATCTAACCCTGGCTCTTTCTTAAAATTAGTGTCAGGAAATGTTAGTGTTTCAGGCTCAGGGTCTAATAATCCTGATTCTTTTTCAGTCTTTACAAATACCTCTGAGCATCTGACCTCCTGTGATGTGTTTTCCTGAGCTCTGGATCCCCTTGGTTCTTCTGGAGAGACCTCAATCTCCTGTGTTTCAGTTTTCACATGAACTAGGTCCTGCTTGTTTTGCACTAAATTCTTCCTGTTTCCTAAACGAGGAGCTTTCACCTCACGTGAGGTGCTTTGGGAGCGCTCAGCTTCATCGTCTGAGCTGCTCGAGTCTGACAACGTGGGATCAAACGGATCATAGATAGTATCGCTGTCTTGTTCCTTTTTAACCTGTGTCCGCGTTGCCAGGAGCATCTCTTTATCCCTGTGCAGCTGTTTCTTCCTCACGTCATCTTCCTTTTTGCTCCTATGTTCCTGCGTGCCACCTCCAGCAGAAGAAGAGGATGACGGCACGCTGAGCCGCCTTGACTGCCAGGAGTTCCCGCTGGAGTTAATGCGGAAACTCACGGATGACGAAGCTGCTGAAGAGGATGAATAATGTGACTGGCTGGAAGGAAACCCAGTGGAGGAGGAGGAGGAAGAGGAGAATGAGTTTGAGAAGGCAGATGATGAGGATGCTCCGTCAGGTCTCTGTCGACCTTCAGCTCTGCCCTTTTGCTGGTCTACACTTTGCTGCCTTCCCTTGTCCCCAGCCAGGCTGTTTATGGCCGTATCTGGCATGCCATAAACATTACGGCTGGGAGTAGAGTTACTAATACTTTCCCTACTACTACTACTTTTATCACTGCCACTGCCAGCATCTGGACTAGTTCCGCAATATATGGCATCACTGCTCTCCTTTTTTATTTTTGGTATCCTAGGAAGAACTGAGACATCTACCCACATAGGCTTTATAGGTGTTTTTTTAGGCTGGTTGTTCTTGGAGCTGGAGTCTAAGGTGGGGTGGGTGGAGTCTATTACTCTATTTGTTCCTCGATGATCAGTAGAATGGGTTGGTTTGATTGGTCGAGGTGGCTGCAAACTGGGATGACCTCGGGGTGGTAAATCAGAATGGGGAGAGGGCTGGATGCGGCTAGCTGAGGGGGGCATGTTGTGGGGTAAGCGAGAGGAGCTCTGGGAGAAAGGTCTGCTTGTGGGGTTATGTGAAGATCCTGGTAGGTCTCCGTTGTTGTGGAGCAGCGGACATGCATCTCCTTGGTTGGGTGACATCACTGGATTGATGTGGGGGCTGGCGTCACCTGAGCTGCAACCTGGCTTTGATGCAGAGGGTATCACTGTAACACACACAAAAAAGTTATTAAAACGGTGGGATAAAAAAGTTATTCTTCAAAGTTGATCTTCATACTACAAGTGTTGCTGGAGCTTTTTGACCTCTTCAGGCTTTTTACTCTCCATGCTCCTTGGTAGTTGCTGAAGTTGTGTCAGAAAGCAGTTGTACTCTGCTTTAACAAAACATGTCATCAAATCTAATTGATGAAACACACAACACACACTTACTTGGCTTTGCAGATTTAAGGGAACCATCTCGGTTAATAACAACATCAGAGCTGTCCATCAGGAGCATGCTCTGTCCTGTGAGAATGCTGCCCAGCAGGTCAGGCACGGGAGCCGCCTCCACAACACCTCCTGATTGGGGGACTTCTATAGCCCTCCTCGGATAGCAAAGCAAACGTTTCATTAGATAAACAATATTTCTTGAGTAATCATCTACCTGGTTTTCATCTCTATGAAAAAAGAGACAACTAAGAAGCCTCACTATAATAAGATGTGACAAATAAAACTTAGATATGATGTGTGACATGGTGCACATGTGCAGTGTTTTTAGGTGATTTTAAATTAATAGTAGATTTTTAATTAGCTCTTCCACTGTAGTTATTAGCTCAAGTGTTTGCAGACGTCTGGATTTCAGGTGTAATAGCAACATTTTATATTTACATTCATGCAAATTAAGCTTTTAAATGTATTTTTACTGAAATGAAAATAAATCCCTAATATGTAGAAACCTAAATACAACTATATTTCCAGCCCATTTATGTTATTATAAACAGAAGTGACAACATTGTTCATGCCATTCTCAGGCATGCCGCAGTAAATGCTTGGTCCCTTTAGGATTGTTAAACAGAATCAAAAGGCGTATGGTAGGTTTAACATGGAAAAGAAATAATCCTGCATGAAAAAATGTTGATGCTTACCGAGAAAGGCTTCCAGTGACTGGACGAGCTACAGGCTGGTGGGATCGAAGAGCAGAGCGAGAGATCCCTCGTCTTTTGGCCTCTAACAGTGATGTCACATGGCCGTGCTGCTGCTCTTCCTCCTCACTGGGTCAAAGCAATACCATAAATCCAATTTAGTTAATAATTAACACTGTCAATGCAAAGATCCATGCAAAAATAAACATTATCCACACATGTACTATACACTTATGAGTATATAGATTGATATAAACAGGAAAATAAACATGAACTATATAAAATATTCAAACGTTTAAATTGGTAGTGATTGTTTGACCACCAAAAACTAAACCTCCATGTGTGGTGCATACTGGATCAAGGAGTCAGCACCCCTGGACCATGACATGGGTGGCCCATAGTATCTACCTCTATTCATATTAACCGTTAAAAATATCAGAAACTTCAATGAATATCATAGTTTGTGAAATGGTCTTCTCACCGATCCGTAAATGGATCCAGGTCAAATGGATCTCCGTAGATAGAGAGGGATGCAGCACCTATGTCAGCACGCATGTTGCTGAGCGTGTGCTCTGATGGACGGTACACTGTAGGCAGCGAAGAGCTTTTCTTGTCCTTTACAATTCCCAGATTATTAGCAATACGACTTCGAGCATTGGCTGACTTTTTCAACGCCTAGCACGAGAAAAAATATCGTATGATTCATTTGTTAACATTTAGTGTTAGACACGTTCAGTGTGCAGTTTAAAACCAAATCACGTAAATTGTAAGTTTGATGTTAAACATGAACTCACCAGCTTTCTTCTGGATTTAGTCCTTCTCACTCTTCGTCTCCTCCTCTTGACTCCTGTACTTCCTGCTTTTCCTGTTCTACCCTTAGCGGAAGATGTCTTCTTGGTCCTTCTGCGCCTAACTGTTCAATTGACCATAAATTATCACATTAACTAATTTGACTTCAAGGCTCTGTTTTTTTTTCTTCTTCTACTAAACATGTTTATGTTTGTTCTGTGATTACACTAACCCATGCTACAAACAATACTTGTTCATGTATTTGTGTGAGTGTGCTCACCAGTCTTGCGCCGGCGGCTGGATGGGATGCGAGGTGCGAAGTTCCTTATATAAACAGCTGTATTGAGCCCGGCCACCACAGCATTAATAGTATCATCAAGCCAAGTGGACTGCATCATATATGTGGGAGCCAGCTAATAAGAGAAAATCATTACTCCAATGGCTGCTTTAAAAACATTATTTGTCTCAAGTCCAAACAGTACTCTCAACCACATGCATTGCTCCAAAACACAAACATCTCAATCAAGAATCAGATAAAAGAACAATGATAAACACATGCGGTAGTCTGTGCAGTCAGTCACACGGAGGTGTTTTAACCCATTACACAACTCAATATCACAAATGTGACAGTGTTAATTATTAGTTCATTAAAACAATTGCAAATTATGGAGAACAATAACACTTTTCTACAAATTTGAGCCTGGCACATATGTTGTTAAAGTGAGTTTGATAATAAGCCAAGACTGAAGCATCACGCCTCATGCCAAACCTGCGATGTGCGTGCCTGTGTGATGCGATGTCGGTTGACATTAGCTCGGACTCTCTCACTCTGCTGTGTCCGTGCGATAGCTCTGGTTGGACCCGGAGCGCGGGACTGGGAGCGACTAGTGGTAGGAACGGCGGAAGATGGAAGGCTCTCTGTTTCACTGAGTTCTTCAGCTGTGCCCCCTGAGTCAGGAAGATTAAAACATACGGCTTTAGCCTAAACAATTCTTTAATAACTAGAGGAAGGGGTGGCGTGTTTCCAGAAGCTCCTCCATGCCAAGTTGTAAAATCTATATTTGTCTATTTAACTTTTAAAAGCCTCAGGAACTTCCCTGATACATTGAGGTTCAACTTGTATACTTTTTTTCTTGCGTCGATATGCCTAAGAAGCCGGAAAACGTCGATTCACGCCGACCTGCTACAGCTAAAGCTAGCGGTGTCTCCAGCGAGGACCGCGATGATTTGCCGCTGATATGGGAGAAAGTCTCGGATAAGATCCTGAAACATATTAACGACAGGTTAGATAAGCTGGAACAGACTCTTCAGGCGGTACAAAGCTGCCAAGCCGAAATGCTAGAGAAGGTGGAATCTATTGAGGAGCAGATGTCCGAGCAGGATAGCCTCATAAGCAGTTTAGAAAAGGCATTTTCCAGCCTCAAGGATGAAAACAACGCACTCAAGCTCAAGGTGGATGACCTCGAGGGCAGGTCGCTTCGCAACAACATTAAGATAATCGGCATACCTGAACAAGAAGACGGAGGTAAACCAACTGAGTTCGTCGAGGCCCTTATCCTGAAACTTCTCGGAGAAGACAACTTCCAATCATCGGTGATAATTGACGGGGCGCACCGGACCCTGCAACCGCGACCCCTGACGGGAGCCAAGCCCCACACCATCATAGGATACACAAGCTGCTATCATATCCCTTGACGCCCAAAAGGCATTTGATCAGATTGAATGGCCTTATATGATTGAGACATTAAAACGATTCGGGTTCGGAGGGAACTTTATAGAGTGGGTAAAAATAGTTTATTCTTCTCTGTATTGTAAAAAACAGCTATAAATAAAGTTTTTTTTTTTTTTTTTTTTTAAAAGAAAGGGTGGCTTTTAATAGATGTTTTATATGAAGGCAAATAACTTTAAGGACTTACTTGAGTTGCGGTTGTTGGCTACACACTCAGGACAGAACCATTCCTCTACAGGAACGGAGTCAAGAGGTGGCGTGAGACACTCCATGTGATACCTATGAAACAAACAGACTTCATAAATCTCTTGATCTGTTGATAAGAGATATCACAGCTTTTCAGACTGACTTTAACACTAATAAATGGGCTATCTAGTTGAGTGATATATGAATTAATCTCACCCAGCATCGCAGCCGTCACAAAGCAAGAGGCGGTCTTCTCTGTCGCTGCTCCCACACACCTCACAGTTGGTCTGCTCCAGGTCCACATCTATGATTTCCTCCTGACCTTCCTTCACAGGCTTTTGTACGGTGATCTTGTTGTAGCCATCAACACAAAAACGACATCAGACATAGGTCATAAACATCACTTGTGCATATCAAGTAAACTGAGCTAATAAGTGTACCAGAAGTTGTGCTAACAAAGAGTGAAAACCCCTACCACTTTCTTCACTTTGCCTCCAAAACATTTTCTTAGGTAGATGCTGTTGAAGGCAATACGGTCTACAGGACAAGAGTTTGCATTCTGAAAGGTGAAAAAAAAAAAAAACAGTGGAAATTAGCTACTCAAGTTCCAAAACACCAGATGCATTTTCTAGATTTTATTTTGGGCTTTTCGTGCCTTTAATGCAGAGAGAGGACAGTGGATAGAGTCGGAAAGCAGGGAGAGAGAGCGAGGAATGACATGCGGAAAGGGGGCCACGGGTGGAAGCGAACCCGGGCCTGCCGCTCGAGACGAGAGTCTCAACACATGGGACGCGCGCTCTAACCATTGCGCCACCAGCGCGCCCCCAGATGCATTTTCAAGGCACAGACTTATACTGATAATAATTTTAAAAAGAAAACAGCTGATGAAGTGTTTTCTGTGATGAAGTCAGACCCACCTTGGCCCACTCAAGGATGCAGTCGAGGCAGAAGTAATGCTCACAGTCCTCTGGTGTGGCAACAGGCTGGCTGCTGAAGGAGTTAAGGCAGATGGGACACTTATCTGCGTCCTCATCGGAGCTCATCTCTGCAAGGTCTGCAGAGGTTCCCCCCGAAAGCTCCACCCTCAGCCTTAGCATTTTCCTCCTCTTCATCATCTGATAAAAGTAGGTAAAAATGTATTGTTTATGTTCTACATATACTACAATAATAGAACATGTTAAAGTAATACAAAGTCAAGCATTTTAAAATCTTGTCACACCATAGTTGAGTGCAATGGTAGCTTATTTTTCCTGTCTCAACTCTACAGGAAAACCAAGTTTGGTTAAGGTGTAAAAACTCTAAAATTATGTGGCTTAAATAAAAACAGAATAAAATTTGGAAATACATGAACCTTTATCAGAAAAAAAGGAAAAATCTGGCCAAAACAAAAGGCATGCGCCCACTACCATCTTTGACAAAAAAATATGTTGCACATTAAGTCACTCTTACCCTCTTCCTCTTCGTCCTCCTCCTCTTCTTCATCGTCCTCTCCATCTAGATTATCCTCCTCTTCTTCTTCCTCTCCACTGTCAGATTCTCCCTCATCAGACTCCGCTTCATTGTCCTCTGAGTCATCTGGGAGGCAAAACAATGTCAAAATACACACAATGCATGACGTTTTAATGCTTTCAAGACCAATTCCAGGTTAACTTCTTAAGAAAACATGTTACGGTTTTGAAAAAGTGCTTGTTCGTTGATCTGCTTACAATATACAACAATTTAATCCCTCTACCTGAGATGGCCCACAAAGCAGCCCTTTTTCCTTTGTTGTGGGATGTACTTCGGTTGATCAGCTCATCTTGGCTGTCATCTTCATCCATGGCTGACCATCAGAGCGACTGCTGAATTGTTTTCCTGACAGCTCTTCTATCAAGTAAACCTAAGGAGATAGACTACAATGGCAGATAGCAATGAAATAACACATGATCTGAATTAAACAGGCTTGAGTTGATAAAAGTCAAATTACAAAAAAACAAGGTGTGTTAATATCTTGTTAAAAATGTGGTGTATTTACAATATCAAAGTCAGCCAATGCACTCATGTTTATAAGGAAAACTATTTTCAACTAACTTTAAGGACCTGCAAGTCTTTGAGCAGAAAGCATGGGCTCCTGGTCTATTGGATGTAGCAACAGTGAAACGTCAAATTAAGAAAAGCGAGGTCTTTCTGCTACCCACGAATGGCAATGTAACAGGAAATAACTAAATAATACGACTTTCTAGTATTCTCATTCACTGACAGGCACGAAGGGGTAACCTAGCCAGTCAGCAGCAGCCTGCAGACGATGCTAATGCTACATTTGTAAACAAAGAAACAAAGTCGAGAGCATAATGTTCCCACCATGCTTTGTAAACAAAATACATGTTGCATTCATGGAGAAGAGAAAACATGGATAAATATGCACTGACAAGTACCCAGGACAAGCATGTCACGCTGTTCTTACTGAACAAATGGCGCTAGCTAGTAGAGCGTGTTAGCTAACCCCAGAATAGCAACATTTAGCGAACGTCCGCTACAAGCTCCTCCGTAGTGTCCTACAAACACTCAGTGTGTGGGGCTTACAATACTACCATTTAGCCCCCTTAACTAAAATATCCTATTTCAGATTGAGTGGCAAAATCAACTAATTAGACATACCCTATTAAGTAATACGAGGTATTGGTAAGTAAGAGTAATATGAAGTCTCCACAGTTGTTGAGTGACACCACCGGCTGCTATCGACGGAAATGGCCGAGTGTGCTCAAACGATCGTGACTTTTAAAGAGACAGTACCCTTTTTAGTCTACGAACTACAATACATAGTTCAGTAAGTGCAACACACACACACACACACACACACACACACACACACACACACACACACACACACACACACACACACACACACACACACACACACAGGGTTTTATAAATTACATCTTGATCGCCCTTGTTCCCAGATCTAGCTAGAAATCGAATTAGACAAGTTCAGTTCATCTGAAAATCACAAATACATTAACTACAATTAATATGGGCAAGTAGCCTATTAAGTGGTTAAGTATAGGTTCATTTACTGCCTGTAACAAAAATATTAAGGTGAGGTGTTTTGCCTGTGGTTGATTATTTTTATAAATGATAGGGAGTTCCAGCTTTTCATTTTCCTTATAATTGAAATCTTTGTCAAGGAAACAAAACATAGAAGGCAAATAAATAAATAGGCTAAATATCATCCAAAAATGGCAACAATTAGGAAATCAAGCTCATAATAATATAATGATAATAACTTTATTTATAGGCTTTAGCACCTTTAAACCAAAGGTTTACAAAGTGTTTTTTTTATTTAAGCAGAAGAAAAAAATAGAAAAAAATATATAGCCTAGGCCTATGTGTAGGCTGTATTATTGTGTTTTATAAGGCTAATATGTATGTAAAATACTCCCCATTAAGCCTGTTATGAGCTACACTGTAGTTCTGACTAAAAATGAGGATCAATTTCTCAACTTGTTCTCATCCAAATCTTACAATGAATGTCCCAACTTCCACGAGAAAAGGGCAAACTTATTGTTTTCTATTGATCTTCATCTATTAGTTTACAGACATTTCAGAATTGAGAGAAGCAATATACAATGGCTCATTGAGGCTAAAACTGTACTCACTAGGTTTCTAAAGAGGTCATTATGCTACACATTTCCACTTCCAGACTCTACCCCACAACAACACAAACTAAAGAGGTGAGCCGACTAGCCAACGATGTTTTCTTTTTCTACACTAAACTTCTCAAACTTTGGCCCTGCTTTCTCTAAAGTCTGTTTTTCTTCCTCTGTAGGTAGGCTATATTAAACTAGTAACTTACATATGACTAACATCATTCTGCTTTATTTGCAGCATGCTGTAGATAAAGTGTTAACTTAATTGCATTTTGGATTAACAGGTATTTACTAACAACTGATTCGTAGCTCCACATGTTTAGCTAAAGGTCTATAGTAAAGGAACTTATACCACTGTATAGGAGTGCAGGTATTTCCTGAGCGGCCAGGACATACCAAGCCTGGAGCAGTGAGGTTACAGCAGTCTAGACTGACTGTCGCCCCCATGTGGTAGCTTTCATTTGATAAAATCAGTTGTTACATAATACATTGTAATCCAGATTTGCTACTTTTATGTCATGGGGTTATGTGTATCCTGGCTGTGAGTGAGCCAGACAGGGCTTTGGCTGTCAAAAAATGGTTAGAGGGAAATACAAATTACTGACCCACCTACACTAAAAAAGGGTTTGTTAAAATCACAGAGAAAAGAGAGAGAACATCATGTTCCAAAATGAAGAGAGAGTGGGGGGGGGGGGGGGGGGGGTGTTGTGATTTTCATGTCTCTAAAAAAAAAAGATTGGTTTGTCACAGAATAACTTCACTATTTTGTTAATAACATTGTCACAACTATATTGTCATTTTGTTTTATTTTTAATAAGTTGTTTATTTGTAGGCCACAATTAATGCTCTGTATTGAACTTTGAGCTTTGTCCATGTGATGTTGATATTTAAATATTGCTGTAATTTAAATTTAAATTGTACCTTAAAATTGCTATGATGTAAGGTTGTTACAAACTCTCATTCCTTAAATAATTGAGTGATCATCACCCTCCTCTTCCTCCTCCTCCTCCTCCTCGTCATCATCAGATCAGACTGTCATGCTGCATCCTTAGTACGTGCACAGCCACACTCTGCTCATGGCAACACTGTACACAAGTAAGCCGAGTTCAACCACTTTACACTGTAGGGGTAGGGGCGTCCTTTGTCAAACCTCATTTCCCCTCTCCATCACGCCTCCTATAGCAGCTGTCGCATCACATTGCGTCTATTTATGGGTAAAGAAACCTGCGCCGCACTCGTGTTTGCATAAATAATCTTCCAGGACAGGAAACTGTTAACACGATAATGGTTCATTCCTAATGTACGACGTGCAAAACTGAACGCGCCGCACCCCAACTACAACTCTTCAAGTCAGCTGAACCTGCTGCCCTCGTTAAACCAGCCTCTCGGAGATCTGTATTTGTCTGTGTTCTTTTATGGGCAGGTCTTTCAACTCCGCCACGGCTTCCCATTGGCTGTTTGTGATGCCACTTTCTTTCCGATTTGCATAACCAGGTCGGGTTGCAGATGCAGGGGAGTGGGCAGGGTAGGGGTAGTGCAAGTGAACTGAACTTGTGCGTCGGTGTTGGCTACACTACGTTCTTAAAATACACCTAACTTTAATCATGCACTGTGATTTCTTTTAAAGAAAAAACAATGTGGATGTTTATTTAGTCCGTATGCAGGATCCTATCGGCGAGAATGAAATATTATTTCTTCAAAAATTAGTCCAAAAGAAAACTTGTGACTGGTAAGTATAGCTCCCTTTATCTACCACTATTCTTCATTCCGTCTATATGTTGTGGATGAATAGGCCACATCCGTTTATTCTATACATTTATGAGCAGTTTTGAGGAGTAATAATTCATTATTTAAAAACTTTTAAAACCTTTTGAAACATGAAGCATGTCAATATATTTCGCTTGTAAAATGCATACATCGTGCACTGGAAACCAGCTGGAATTTATAAATCTATAGGAGGCCTGCAGTTTGAAACAGTGTTAGAACAATAGAGGCTTTTAGATATGTGTTGATTTACTCGATTTGTTACATAATTTCATTTGTGTAGATTCATTTGAAAACGATATTTTCGCACAATAGCTGTAGTGAAATATGAATAGAGGTGGAGCATGTAATCGCTGCTCTTGATGTTGACTTTGTCTGATTTATATCTGTTTCAGAGCCTCTGTCTGTGTCATCCCACAGATTGCTCATGTTTGTCAGTCTGAGCTCTAAAAGCAGGTAAGCCACTGACTAACGCACATTGTGCCACTTATCGTTTCCACTGTGCGTGTGACAGCGGCTAACCTGGTTTTGGGAAAACCTCTCATCTTATATTTTTGGCTCGTGAAAGACCAGCCACAGCCGGATCGGACAGACACCTATACCTCCAAGCTTTCCATGAACATGTCTCATGCACATTTCTGGGACAGGCCCGCTCCACATGACTGCTCAGCCAGTGGGTCTCCATGTGTAGGCTACTTCCCATATGTTCACATACTGTCCTCTTACTTAGGGAAAGTAGCTATTTGCATTGCCCCCTATAGAGGCGACCTCTCTAATGCTGTCTACTGTCAAGACTATTGGTGAGTGTTGTATTTCTGTTTCATCTGACATGATAATCATCATCATACTATAGCTGGTTCCAAAATTTGAGATGACAAACCCTCCAGGGGCTCCAGTTCCCATGGCCCCTCCAGCTAAAAAAAAAAAAACAAGAGTGTTACAAAAAGACACTTTAAGGTTTTTAAAAAAAACAAAAAAACAAATCTGATAATAAAATAAAAATTTAGCAGTTTCAAGAAGAAGAACTGTATCCATAACAGTATGTATCGTCTTTGTATAAAAGTATATCTATAGTATAAAGTTTCTACAAAAAAAAATTGTGGCATCATGTATTTTGCTTTCTGTTTCACTGTGCGATACATTTCTTAGTGAGTGAGGATGTTTCCCATCGGTGCATAATGACTCATTGTGGCACAGAGAAATAGATAAGTGCAGTATGTCAGACTCATTAACTTGTGGCCCCATTCATCATCATAATGTGGACGTGCAGATGCTCACTCTCGCCCAGCACATGAAGGAGGCCACCCTCATGCTCTCTGCTGTACGCACTGATCGCTATTCATCAGCAAGTTGTCAAAGTTACAGCTTTTTTATTGATCTGACACCTTCCAAAAGCAGATTTGGATGGGCTTCATGTGTAGTGCCATATATGAGTGAAAATTATTCCCTCGGGGGGTCCTGAAACATCCCTGTTAATATCTGTTTATGAGACTGCATTCATTTTAATAAAGATATGACGTTGTTCACTTTGCATGTAGGAAGGGAAAATAGCAGACATGAACAACACTGACCTGGGGTCATCTAAAAATAAAACATTACATCAGAAAGTCTCACAAGTAATGTAATAAACACACAAGATAATCGATCACAAGACCTTCAGTTGAACATATCATTATGGTTCAATCCTTTTTCAATGTGGAAGTAGTAGATGGGAAATTCCAAAAGAAACACTTTCTATTTTCACTTTAGGTGTTTGTGCAGTATCCTCCACCACCACATGTTGGCGCCAGCGCTCCTCAATGCAGCGGCTTGTCCAGACAGTGGGAACTAAACAAGGATTTGGAGCTTATCTAACTCCAGCCAAGCCAGACAGCTCTAAACCTTCTCAGTAAAATCCAATTTTGCATAATTAATCGCAATATCTGAATTGACATTCTAGCCTTTTTTTCTTTTCATAATTCTAACCTAGGGGTCAAAAGTTCACAGCATTGGCAAAAAGTAGAAATGCTTGAATTTTTTTGTGTGCATATTTTTGATGCTCTGAGAAAGTTATTGATATTAATCCATTTATACATGGAATGAAAAATAAGTTGTTTTTGTTTTTATCCATAAAATGTTTGCAGATCAACATTTTTTTATAGATATCCACAGCATTTCAATCAGGGGTTAGCCAGAGAACAAGGAAAGATCAAGTCGCCCAGTGGGAGACAGCCAGCGTATTTACTCTCCAGGGTAAACAAACAGGAAAGGCGTGGGTGGCAAAGTGTTGTGCGGGAGCCCATAGTTGTGCAACAGTTTTTTTCTCCCCTCACGCTAGGGTGATTTTATCATACATGATAAGATATCACAAAACATGTCTGTGTTTCGGACATGGATTGAAAGACCTAAGGCTACAATGTTGTTGTTGTTTTTGTTTTGTTTTTTACAATCAGACATTCTCTTCTGGTAAGAGAAAGAAATTAATTATGGCACAAACACAAAAGAAACCTAAAAAGCTACCAACAAGTTACATTAACGCCAAAGTAGATCTCCAGTCATGCTTCTGAAATGTTCACACATCCAGCGCCCTTGTGACTGTATGGTCACATGTATTGTAGAACTACTGCGTTACATCATCCATAACAGCAGCAGCTGTGATGCCAGGATGTCTGCCATATTTCCCTCCGCTCCCAAGGATGTGAACTCAGTGAACTTTAAAATCAGCCACCTGTGAATACCAGCATCAAAATGCAGAGGAATGATGGAGGAGCATGGCAGGACCCATTGTAGCATGAGGAGAGCATGCATATTTCAGTACCTATAATATATTCATTATGCATTTCACATAGGAGCTTCATGGCACAGTCCTTTTTAGACAGTGTACACTGGTGTGTTAATTATTTACCACAGAGCATTTCAGAAAAGCTGCACCTCCTCTCCTAGATACTGTAACAAGAACAATAATGACAACATGTGATCCAATAGACAGGATTATTAAGAAAAAACAACCACTCAGCAAAAGATGATCTAAAACACAATACACAATTTTATTATCTTTAAATACATAGTCATAGTAATAATTGCTCTAAGTCAAATGTCTCTAAATTATTTTACATTTCATACAGATATTGCAGTGTTTACAGTAGCAAAACTCTGTAAATATATTTGTCTTATTTATATACATTATGTATATCAAAGAGGATTAAATAATGAGTTACAAAGTGAAGGGTTAAATAAGAGGTGACGGTGACAGAACAGTGAACATGTTTTCCCGTGGCCATGTGGTCCATGTTTTATCTCCATGACGACTCGCGGGATGTCAGGACTGCAAGACACAAAAATAATTGGGGATGATGATCCCTTTGTTTGGGAAACTTTATTTTTTTTCAGCTAAGACAAGAGAGACCGGGTCAATCAAGATATTCACACAAACATAATCCGACACAAGATGTGTTCATCCTTTACCCGTAGAAAACTAAAGATTTGAAGTCAGAGTAGCAGAAGTGGTTTTTAAGCACATTTGTTTTTGAGATATCTGTAGTCTCGATAGCAGTTATGTAACCCCAAAAAGGCAAACACCACAATGTAGGAGGAATTCACAATCAAACACACTTCACTTTGACCTGTCAGCGTAATTGTCAAGACAAATGATAAAAGGCTAAGTGCTAAGATAATGTAAATATTGGTTAAGATGGTTTGGATGGTCATTCATGGAGAACAACTGAAAAGTCCAAAGAACTGAAAAGGATAAGCCTCCCTTATTTGTTGATGTTATTTTTAGGGACTTAAGGTCAGTAAGCTACAGTACAGTACACAGAGGCACATTCAAGTTGTGACAGGTCAAATGTTAAGTGGGATGACAGCAAAAGAAAAACAGAAGCATCCTACCCAGTAAAGGAAAAGAAAATTACTTTAACAAACCTTGGCCCTGTTTGTGGCACTACTTCTGAAATGCATCTTTTATCATTGACCTCAAAGAACCGTATTCACAAATAGTCTTAGAATATTCCCAGAGAGCTCTTAACTTCGCTTCAAAACATTGCTAGCAAGGAGTTCTAGCTTCAATTCTGAGAAAAGTTTCTGAGAGAAGGTACAGAAACTTTTATCTTAGCCGCTAGGTATGACACCTTCTTTCAAAAGCTGTGATTGGTTCAGAGAAACACATAAATAAGAATATTCTCCCCAGCGTGAGTGAAATACAGACCCAGAACATTTATCTCGCTTTAAATGATGGCAATAACTTCAAGATACATTTCTCTGTAGTCTCACAAGGGCCAAGGCTTCACCCAGAAGTAGAATGGGACAGTGCAAAACATTTTGCAGAGCCCTCCACGAAGGCTCTTGCTCTTTGGAAGTCAAGTGTCACCAAAGTACAAGGCATTGTATAGATACACACACACACACACACACACACACCCTCTCACATATTAATAGTATCCATACATAAAAGGCAAACTGAAATGACATTGGTCACATATATTTCCATGTCACAGTGTAAAGAACAGCACTACAATCAGAATGTCTGCTACAGTCATTCCCAGTGCGATCAATGTGTTACATGGAGATACGGTGAGAAGCAGCTGTCGGTACACGATTGTTGACTCGAGGGTAGAGAGGCCGCTCTGTATTACAGAGAGGGGGGGGATTAAGAGCAAGTTCTCAGATGCATTAAAGTATAAGAAAAGCAGCTACTGTTAGTCCAGGAGCAAACAGTGAGAGAGGAGGAAGGCAGGGAGGAGAGACATCAGAAAAGGATTTTGAGAATCAAATCAAACGGGGAATGTGAGAGAAAATCGAAGCAGGAATGTGAAAGTTTTAGTCAATTTAAAAAAAAAAGTTAAAAGTTAGGGACAGGAATCAGCAGAGGACTCAGGGATAGGAGCAGAAGAGAAGTTTTTTCAGCCTCTAACGGTAGATGACAAGGACCTCCACCCAAACAGATGCTTCCACTATCCCAACACCGGAAAAGGGCAGCTGCAGTTTTAAAACCCAATCAAGCTGGAGTAGAAAGTTTAGCGGCGAGAGGCTCTGGGACCAAGGGGGGAAGTGGGGAGGGGGAGGAGGAGCAGGGCAGGGTGGACTTGGGGAAGCAGCAGGGTCTCACACATACACACCCTCAGGGTTGAGACTGGACACTAGAGGGTTTTGCAGGTTGCGGGGATGTCCCAGGAACTGTTTGGCAGTGGGGCGAGGCGGGGAGTCCACTTGAAGTAAACTGTGGCCTTTCAGAGAAAAGACAAATACATTTATTGGATCATTTTTACCTGAGTGGAAAAGTCACAAGCACAAAGCCTCTTACATTTGACACTTTTAAATCAAGCCCTAGGAAAGTAAACAAACATACAAAAATAAATGTATGATAGTCTGAATGAAGCAGAGTCAGGTAGTTTACAATACACCTGTGGACCTTCAACTACAATCTGTTCTACACGGGTTGATTATGTCAATCCATCCGTTAAAAAAAAACTGTACAACATGTCACATTTTAGTCTTCAAACATACACGTATTTTTCCATTTTAAAGATTCAATGCATAACAGAAAGTTTCATCTCCATACCCCCATTAGTGTATCCCTCCTGCAGAAGATGTGCCAGTTCTAGCTGCTCCAGTTGCTCCTGAAGATCTGTGCGTGAGTTTGAGTGCGCTGGCAGGACACCCGCCTGCTGTATAAACTGCTGCAGGTTACACTGCCTCAGCTCCTTATTCAACTCCTCCAGCTCCTCCTGTTTGGCCTGAGACGGAAAAAGAACATGGATCGGAGAGGAAAACAAAGGAGAGCTTATATCAGTCAGCGCTGACTCACTCAACACTGTCACTTTGTTTACCTTTAAAAAAAAAAGAAAAGAAGGTGCAGCATAGGAAAAAAGACACGTTCAATAAGCAGGACAATGTATTGATATAGTTCTGTTCAGCTGTAATATCATAGCACCAACCGCAGAAAGTACGACACTTCTTGGGCAGGACAGCTATTTCTTTTTGCCATTAACTACTGTAATTGCCATATATCTTTTCACCTTAAGGGGGCAGCAGAGTCTACAAGTCTAGTTTCAAGTCATCGACAGAGACTACAACCTGAGCCATCATAAACCCATTCATCTACAATGAATCATCAAACTCAAAGTCATTCCCAAAAGCATTTTTTTAGATTCCATCAGATCCCAGCAGCTTCAGACATACTGTATATATAGATGGATACATAACAGCTCACATTTGCTGGCTGCCTTTTCAAGTTGTTTTAATTAACCCGATGCCAAAGGGGGAGAGAAATTGACTACCTTCAATTATATTATTGAAAGTGTGGAGTTCACAGAGCCTCCATCGAGAGAGTAGCATCACCTATGCACCCACAGATTAATCTGTGATGCATACAAACAGGCCAGTCAATCAGTCTTTATCGACCACCCATTCGTACTAAATCAATGTGTCTGCACTCAGTACAGGAAGCAGCCTCAGTATACGTGAGCATCCAACAACCCCAGCGCCTGTGTGTGTGTGTGTGTGTGTGTGTGTGTGTGTGTGTGGACGTGTAATTGATGTTGGACTGAGGCAGCCTGCTGAGGCAGTTCACACCTGTAAGTTGGCCTCTATTAGCCTAATGACAGCAATGCTGCACTCATCACCACCAACACTTAAACACTCGGCAGGCAGGCATGACAGTGAACTGACACTGCCAGACATCCACACCTTTCCATCACTATACATCCAGCTTTATTATACTGTATTCATGTTACCTGTGCTAACATGTCGATTCCTGGAATAAGAGCTTCTTGTTTCAGCCTGCATGTTTAAAATGCCTCTGTGGTTATCTTTATTGTCAACTCTTCAATCTTGAATAACTGTTGATACATGTAATGACATGGTGGAACACATTATACCACCACCATGCATTGAACAAACATAAACCTTCCGCAGCAGGTTGCTCACTGAATAAATTCAAAATTGCCCATGATACAGCCCTCTCTGTTCCATCAATCGGGCACTAAAGCTGTTGAGTTCACCCCCAGAGTTTCGCACATCCCCACCGGGTAGACTGACTGATGACTCCAATGAGCTTATTGTTACTGTTAATTCGTTTTGCAGCCAGTTTTCTATTTATTTCTCGGAGCAAAAATAGGGAAAGAGTCACAATAGCCTCTCAGTCTGGATGGTAACACTCCATTTCTTTCTGACAAAACATCCTTTACCGTCCCACAATAAAAGAGGAATTTCATTTTCTTCACTTCCCCGTCTGCAACAACTCTGAAAGAGCTCAACCAAGTGGATACTAGAGTCTCGGGTAATGAGGAAACTTGGGTTTCATTTAAAACTGGGTTAGGTTCTTTTTATTGATATAACAACCTTCCATGACAACCACCCAATGCAAAACAAGCAATAACACCATAAACTCTGATAAGTTGAGGCTCAGTAGATCCAATAAAAAGGGTCCTTTGTTCCATATATCATTCCTCTTTAATCTCTTTTTTTTTTGCATACACATAATATACAAGAATATGAAGATACTGGCGATGTGATATAAACACCATTTGTAACCACGTGTTCTGAACATGCATACAAGAAGACAGCTGCCAAACCAGTTCAACTAGGCTGTAAATTCAGACAATAAAACATTTAATACAAGGCAGGCTATTAGTATACAAAAGTCATGCATGTGTCATTACTCCAATAATTATTCTTGTAATTAAATGCCACAGTAAATCATGTTTTCTTTTGGATCAGTACTCTTCTTTCCTTTTTTAGGAGTTTTCTCTGCACTAGTGTTTGCTGCAGTATGCAGATAGGAGAGGGATACAGTCTCACAGTATAATTAGAAGGCGTTTTGTACAACATCTACGTATGTGCTGATGTTGATTTAAAGCCCTTTCTCCAGAACCGTGACCTCTCTCCTTACCTGCAGCAGAGACTCTGCCTTCCCCAGAGCCTTGTCAGTCTCAGATAACCGCTCCACCAGCTCTGTCCCATGATGCTCCTGGCTCTGGAGCTCTGCCTTTATCGCATCGAGGGACTCCTCTGGTCTGTTCGCTTTCCCTTCGTCCTGGCTTTCCCGCTGGATCTCCTGCTCCAGCTGAGCGGAGCGAACGGAGAACTCGTGCAGCCGCCGGCCGCATTCGTCCAGCTGTGCGTGAAGCTCCCCCAGCTTCCTCCTCATCCCTTGTTCCCTCTCCACCTCCGCCTGAAGCTCCTCATCCCAGTACTGCTCGTGTGCAAGCTCAGCCTGGTTCCTCCGCATCGCTATCTCCAGAGCGTTCATCTCTTCCTGCAACCGAGCGTCAGACACAGGTGAGGGACACGGAGAAGGGTGGGGACGCTCCCAGGAATGTGACTCCCTTTCCAGGGTTTCTAACTGGGCCTCAAAAGCCCTCAGTCTCTCCTGTTGCTGAAGAACCTTTCTGAAGACCTCCTCTTTGGATGGGCCTATAGGTGGGGTGGGAGAGGGAGAGGGGGATGGCACATGAGAGGAAACGGAACTTGGTGAAGGAGAGGGGGAGGCTCTTTGCTCCGGAGAGTCCCGAGGAGATCTCTTAAACTGTTTGGCTTTGGTTCTAGGGGAGGTGGATGGCCCCAGGTTGAAGGTGAGCGCTTTCTTAGGCTGGCTGCGTTTCTCAGGCTCGGGGTGCTTGGGCAGAGGGAGGGGAGTTGGTTTGTCTTGTTGTGAGCCAGGTGCATCACTGCTACTTGGGCCGGTGCGACGCAGGAAGAACTGAACCTCGTTGCCATGTTGGCCCAGCTTAGCCAGGGACTCCAGAGGCTTCTCTGTGGCAAGCAGCTGCCTCTCTGTGTCCCTTAGACGCTGTATCAGGACATACCGGCCTGTCTGACCTGTAGACAGAGAGAGACTGAGAATAAGTGCAAAGACAATCACCTTGACACTGTAAATCACAAACTCAACCTGAACAAAACATCAAATTAAAGAAGCTGATGGACAAACATTTAAAAAAAAAACTTCGTATAAGATCTGTATAACCTTCAGTGTAAAGCCGTTAGTCTGACTCCTCCCACTGCTTCTATGCACGTAATGCTGAGTGAACAAATGACAGAGACACTATGATGATGCCGATACCTCTAAATCTCTTCCTTTGAGGAGAGGAATAAAAAGCTGCCGTGTAAGACTCGCATGAAATGTAAAAAACGTTCAAATAAACTGAAGTTTCCACAAGGACCTTGAAATTAGGACAAACCCTCCCTAATGACTTGGCAGGCAGCTCACTCATGGAAGAAGGAGAGCGCTAAATCTGGATTTATGTTGTTCAACACAGCTGAAATGTATGGTTTGAATATAGCCGGATGACATGGGGACAGAGAGCTGGCTTAAATCCAGACTGACCACTCTGACAGTCCAGCAGAGTGCTCCATTTGGGTCAGTAGAGAATTGAAAGCAGACATAGATTTAAAGCAACCGTGGCAATTACAAGAACTCTTTGTTTTGAATCGTCTCTACAGGCAGGGTTGTTATCTAATCACTTAAAGCCCCTTAAGATAAACTTTCAAGCAAACAAACAATGTGCAAAGCAACAAAAGCTGTAGAAATGGCATCCCAACATCACGGCTAAATGTTTTCTTAATCGAAAAAGAGTTTGAGGTGCTCACCGATGGCCTGAGCCAGAGCTATGACTACATCCTGGCAGGAAGTCTCCTCAGACAGGCCGCACACCACCCGCACCACTCCGTCCACCCACACTTTGAGCTCCATCTGGGACCACGCAGGACGGGGATGAAGGGTTTAGACGGTCTTAAAACAGTGACTTCAGCTTCACTTTACTCAACACTGCATCGCACTGGCTCTGAAAGACAAGAACAGAACAAATATGTTAGAGGTGTGTGTTCATATCATTGATGCCAAGTCCAGAAATACACTTTTTCTGCCTTGAGAGCAGACCTTTCTGCATGTAGAAGCACTAGTGAGCTCTTGGGGTCCACTATAAAGACATCATACTGAGTTTCTTAAGGCCTCACTGAGTTGTAGATCATGATGTAATCCTATACCCAACATACGACACAATATGTTGCTACCCGAAACAAATAACACTGGAGGGTGTCATATCCTTTGCAATTTGTTGAAAAACCTGTTTTTACACTTAAGTGGACAGACGTCATGAATGTTCTGTGCTGGGTGAGAACACCATTGAACTGTATGTTTCGAGCACAGCAGTCAAGAGGAAGAGCAGTGTCAAATTTGGTGAGGTTCCTGGTGGTTAGTGAAAAGTCCCAGCAGTATCTTGTGGACCTGGGAGCATAAATGCCAATCTGTAACCCAATTAAACGCTCCGCTGCCCTCCTTCAAAGCCGTTATGATAGCTTACTGCCGAGGGGAACGGACAGGGGAAAGTGGAGCAACTCAAGTGTGTCTGTGTTTGGGATAGGGTGTTTGCGCGGGTACATATACACAGGAACACAGCAGGAGGGGTAGGAAAAGCGTGTGTGTGTGTGTCTCAGTTTGATCCGCCTCAGCAGGACAAGAACTGGGTCTCATCAGACTTCAGAGAGCAGATCGGCAGGTAGGCGAACACGCGTCCAGGCGGCAGGTTTAACCTAAATGAATATCATTATCCAGGGCTCTCTCTGCCAGGCTGTACTTTTTACAGCCAAGCTTCAAAACAACGTAATAAAATACCGCAGTGCTCATAAAAAGTGAAATGCCCCTGGGCAGTGGCAGGATTTTTCTATAGAACTTGGCACACTGAATGAAACTTTGTAGCCTAGGTGGGTAAAAAAAAAAAAGACAACTCTTCACCCACAGTCAGACAGATGGTGTTCCCTTTCTCTCCGTCTCTCCGGTTCTCAATGGGAGGTGTTTAAAGCTGAGCCCCACCATTATCTTGCCCCTCATTCAGCGCCTGGCTCTGCTCCAGTGGCTGACTATAGGGAGCTGCTTTGGAGGAATGCACTGACTTCATCTGCCAGCCGGAAGAATTCCTGCTTTTCTTAACAAAGCCCTCACCCTACCCTGCACCCCCTCCCATCTCCTAACCCCCTTCCACCCCTCTGCTGCTGACCTGGCTGCCCCCACACACCACCATTTACTTCTCTGCTGTTTGGACGCCAAACACAGACTCTGCTGGGGGAGCAACAGCCTATATCTGATGTGGCAACAACACATCACACAGAACAGCTCAACGTGACACCGCAAACAGAGGAGAATGACGGCGCAGCTCAGAGATTGAACGACATCACACGAAACAAGTGGGAGACGGAGACAGATGATCACATGTGGTAAAAGATTCCTTTGAGGCCGTGCAGGCGAGGTGATATCATTTTGATATGAAAAGAGAGCACTGTCAAATTCAAGAGCTGTAAAATTTCAACACACTCGAGATGTCAATATTTCTTAAGAGGGCACAGAGTGTGCTGTGTTGCAATACATAATTAGGCCTAACTGGTTGAGTCACAAAGTAGATAATCATTTACTTGAAGCTATGTTCCTGTAGGCTTTTTTTTTTTTTTTTTTTTTTCAAAACAAGCAGAGACGAACAGGAAGAAACATTTTTAAAACTTGAAACCTTGTGTGGTGGAATGCTGTTTTACAGGCCCGGACCAAACTCTCCTCTTTGCAGAGATACTACACGGCTGAAACAAACTGAACTTGTCACGTTTTTTGTGAAAAACATGTCTGCATGTTTAGGAAAATGAGGTCCTACCTGACAGGAGTTGAGGTCTTTTACATGTGGACAAACTTGCAGACAGTATGCTAAAGATAGGCTTCTACGTCTGTCTAGGGGTTTTTATGTACCGAGACAATCTCATTAATCACAAACACACAAACATCTCCCAGCGAAGACTGTCACTCTCCCATGATGCTTTAGTTCTCGTCCCTCCTGGCTTGAAATGTGATAATCTGCACTAACAGGAAACAAACAGGCCTGTGAGTCTCAGGTTGCTGTCTATTCTCTCTTTCACAGGCACAACAACCCTGAGAAGCAGACATCCGCCTGACCCTGCTCCAGCACAGCTCCAGAGTCCTGTGTCACTGCTCACTGAGAGACAGGCGCAGGGAGAGACACCTTTACCGAGTCGCAGAATCGTGATGCATACCAACAACAAGGGCTCAAAAGACAACGACAGGGGCTGAAATAATGTCAAAAATATTGCAGATGCCAAACAGGCTGTCAATCAACACATTTGCTATTCAAAAAGGAGAGTGACTCTGAGTCAACACGCAAATACTGTCGACAAACAAAGGCTGCAAAAAACTCTGCACTCACAGCACGCACACACAACCTCTTATCCAAGCCACTAAAGTTATCCAATACTCATCGTTTTATCCACATACCAGCACTTACATCCCACCCTTTAACCTCAGGCTGACCCCCCCACATCCAAATACACAACAACACATCCCACTCTCACTTTTACTTTCACCCGTTACTCCCTCCCTCCCTCCCACCCAAACAAACAAACAAAAATAGTTTCAGTTGAAACTCTGAGCACATGCCTATCGTGTTTTTTCAGAGGAAGACATGAAGTCAATGTATAATCACTTGGAGGTTATCATGTATCTCCCATTCGAGTCACAGACACAAAAGAAATCTGCTGAAAAAGACATTTAAGGATCTTATTTTGAATAAAGGCAACAGACTAGTCGTACTGTATGATGAAAGACAGAGAAAGAAAGACAGCGAGCAAATGAGAGAGGGAGAGGATACATGTGGGAAGAGGAGTCTGACAGATAAAGAGTGGTAGAGCAATGATTGGAGCCATGTGCCCTTCCCTCTCTCTCTCATCATCACTCACCCATCCAGCTAACCCGCTTTGCGTCTTTCATCCGCCTGTCTGTGCCTCTGTCTGTCTCTCCTCAATCACAGCCTCCCAGCACTTTGTCGAGTTGGACTGGAGGCAGCAGTGGTTAGCATCACAGCCCGGCAGACTCCTGGCATGAGTCTGTGTGACACACTGCATGAGCAGCAGCGTCGGCCTGTCAATTGATGGGCCTTTTTTGGTCAAGCTAGTCACATGCCCAAACTAGAGCTGTCCATAAATTACATCACAGGAAGGGCGAGGAGGGCTTTTGTTTCTGTACTGGAATCCAACTTTAGATATGACTTCATAACTTTATAATGTAAAACACCTCACGTCTGCCTCAGATAAAACACTCTCTATTCAGTTTGTGATTTTCTTCCACACCCAGACCCAAACAGCCAATGCATGAACAAGCACTTGTACACACACAAACACACACAAACAGATGTAGAATACTATAGAAGTACTCATGCCAACCGGCCCCCCGCTAACTCATTATTTCAATTGCAAAGTTTTGAACAATTTATTTCTGTAAGTATGAGCAGCGTGTGGGAGACATTTTGAGGAATGAAGGTTATCAGTGAAATTCTACGGAAGGTTATGAAAGACTGTAACACTTCAACACCCATTCCCTTAGGCTACATGAAGAGGGCTTACTGGGTGTGTAATGCAAAAGTATGCATGTGTGCATGAAGTGTCACGCAGTGGTCAAAGGTTGCATTGCAGGCAGTCATGTAAAGTCTTGTATCTGTAGGTGTTTTTTTTTTTTGCGAGAAAACATTCTATTCAGGCCTATCTTTACGAGAGGTCGCTCCAGCTCCAGAGTGATAACTGCTATCTCTGCAGCAACAGAAGTCCAAGGAACAATGGCAGGAGTAAAGGGCAGAGTGTACACCACACTGCCTCTGACCAGACCCAAAGGAATATATACAAACACAGAAATACATCAAGTGTAGACAAATAGTTGCTCCTATTAGTATTAACAAGAGGAATTAGACCCTGGCCCAGGCTGGGTAGAGTTTATATAATATGTTAGACATCGCTGTTGGAGAACAATGAACAGTGCGCAGAGAAGCTGTGTCCTCTGTACCACTCTGGTTCCAGGTTGGCAGAGACACAAAAACACTCAAATAGCCAGTAACGCGCTGGCACCGAGCAGCATGGTCTCATCTGTACTGTGCCGAGACACTATTGTTGTTCTGGTTCCACACTCAGCAGACAGTGTTGCCTCTTTTGTGGCCCCTGGCATCGCTGGGTCGCCTCGCCAGCTTTTAGTGCCTTTCTGCTGTGTCCACATGTTACCACTGATAAAGCTAATAAAAGGGAAAACAGATACTTTCTCTTGTTCTCCCTCGCTTCATGTTTTGCATTGTTAGTCCTTCTCCCCCAACTTTACGTCAGCGCAGTTTATGCGCTTAAAGACCGATGAGAGCAGAAACACAGTCCACAACAGCCCTGTAGTGCAGAGCAGCACAATAACAATTAGTCATAATGGTAGAAAATAATCATTTTCCCCCTGAAATCAGAGCTTCTGGAAATCCTTTCATGAATCACAGGGGTATATTCTCACTCACTTCTTCCTTTACACAGAAACTAAAATGTTTAATGTCTAATGGCTGCTTGTCCACTTGCTTGAAAAGAGTGATCTACAACCCATCACAGTCAAACTTTATTTATTTTATTTTTTTAAAGATGTATTTTTGGGCATTTTATGCCTTTCATGGAGAGCTAGGACAGCGGATAGAGTCAGAAATCAGGGAGAGAGAGCGGGGAACGACATGCGGGAAAGAGGCCACAGGTGGAATGTGAACCCGGGCCGCCCGCTTGAGACTGCAGCCTCCATACATGGGGCGCACGCCCTAACCACTGCGCCACCAGCGCCCCACAGTCAAACTTTATTTTGAAGGCGTTTTATCTGGCTTCATAATTTCAAAACACTTTCTAACACGAACCCAGCTCAGGGTTCTTTCTACGCCTATGTCACCATTTAAAATTTGTTACAGTACCCAGGTGAAGCTGGTAGCAGTTAAAAATAAATATTATTTAC